GACCGATTTTATCGCTAACCACAGCGGAGCGATGCAAGAAGTAATATTATTACTAAGAAGTGAGCCCTGTTATGTTGTATGCCAATAAATAATGCCGGCCGGTGTGCTGACTGCCTTCCACCAAATCACGCGTTCCGTCAAACACAAGGGAAGGCGCAGCCCCAGGCTCCGCGGACGCTACAAGCTCACTAGAAGCAACGAATGAGGGACCTGAATAGCAATGCCTGTTGTGGGATTCGAACCGGGGACCTTCAGCTTACCCATCGCAGAATCATCAACATATGGCGGAGGTGCTACTTCTGAATGAGCCTCATGTCCACTTCCTAATAGACAGTGAGTGAGGACCAAACCTATAATGGTCGTCGTCGTCGTGCCTTACCAAAGTCGATAGAGGCCTCCTGAGTCTGCAAGTATATCTTCCCTTGTTGTGCCATCTTGATACTCATTACCAGACGGCTCGAACCTGATATAAATCAGTCTCTTCAGCTAACTGCACGCATACACAACGAAGATCCCCAACATAAACGCGGACAGCAAAGGGAAGGGGGAGCCCGATAAGGTAACAGAGTTGATTCCTATATGTATCTTACCGACGCCAGATTCGGCCAACTTAGCCTTAGGAGTCATCCCCTTAGGCCACTCAGCATGCTGTACATCAGTATTGTGTTGATGATGATGTAGATGATCATGACCATCATCATCTTCTTCAGATAGAGGGGGCTCCAATCCAATATCGTGATGCATTGGACCAGTGGCAATCGTAAGCATCGATACTTTAACAGCCCCACGACAACATTCACTTCCATCTGGAAGCTTCTGGATGACCTGAGATATCACTATCGTAGATGGAGGTTCAAATACTAACACTGGTAGCGATATACGAAGTAGGGTACTACAATTACATCAACATGGAAACGATCAGAGCTTCTACAGAGGGAGGCTAGGGAGTAGAAAACTGCCCTATTCACTCCAAGGGTCGAATCCGCCCGCTACGTGTATTACATCCACTTTAACAAACTTGCCAGCGATCCCTCTATTGTTATTAGGACTCGGTTTATAATGCCACTTGAATCGTATAGGCTCCGACGTCCACTGAGGGTCAGCTGACCATCGCCATCCGGTCTCATACACACTTCCTATACAGGAAACAACAATGATATTACCAAAGATATCATCACCGCTGATGCGCACAGCGAAGATTTCGCTGCCACTAGCGCTTACCTGCCCAGCATATCCTTAGTTTAGTAGACATCCTCTCCGGTAAGGAGCGACATTGCATGTTGAATATTCGAACAACGAAATCGGCCGAACCATCGAGCGCTTGCTTGTCGATGTGATCGGCTTCGAATGGGTCGTAGGTTCGATCCACACTCACGTCCAACCTAATATCAAGATGATACCACCTAACTTAATACTATGGACTTCATAGTAGGCGCTCAAAGGATACGACCACAATCGACATCCACATAGCATTGCTAATAATCGATATACAGGATGGGAGTCTATTCATATTAGGAATACCCCCCAACGTCCGAATCTTGAAATCAATATCAACAGATCACCATGGCCATAGTCCTGCTAGTGTGTTGGCCCTCTTACGTGTTGGTATCCCTTGGTATAGGGTGCTGTTCCTTGGAAGCAGCGATCGCCTTTAGTGTTTGTTGTTTACTATTACTACCATTCCCTCCTGAAAATACACCATCCTGCTACGACAACCCTATCAGTGGTCCATACCTGGCGGTTGGGATTGACTTGACCTTGCACACCCCATATCTTCTGCGTTTGGGTGGTCAATGCTTCTCTTCACTCTACTTGATGAGTTGCTAGTCGACACTGCTTTACTAGATTCCTTCGTTTGGTGGCTTCTTCTGCTGTGTTGGTAGGAGGAGGAGGAGGAGGAGCCAGGTTCAATCTCTGGCTGCGGTACTACTACTTGGCCAGTCGAGTTGGATGGAGCAGCAGTAGTAGTAGACGGTGTTATTGTACGAAGAGCAGCTAGTAGGGTCTCTTTGACTGCCTTCAAACAGGAGCGGCAGCTAACTATTTCCAATAGGATATTTGCTTTACGAAGGGGCTATTCACAATACGAAGAGCTCCTCCACTACTTGAACCACCAAAAAGTATACGATGACAACAACAAGCTGAGTTCTTCTTCAACTGCTGTTGTCCAAAGCGACGATACTCCTGACCTTTTGAGGATCTATTCCTTCCTCTCGAGAGAGATAGAAGGAAAAAGAAAGATACGCCTAACTGAAACACACCAAATACCATGCCCTTCTGCACCATCCAGCAGTGAAGAAAACACCAGATTTGTCAACAACAACTTCAACAACAAAAGACATACAAAGTATAGAAACGAATTATCCATTCATGGAAGGTGCCCGACAAGCCCCGCCATATATCCTTTCCACATTCACCATGCCCGACCTTAGGATTCAATACTCCTTCCCTCCTCTACGAACCCATACAACATTCACTCCCCGAATGAATAGGGATGGGGCGCGCCACGAAATTCGATCACTAAACCTCTCTCGAGCCTACATAGTAGATACAATAGCAGAGTCCGTCACCGCGCCACGAAATTATTACCGAGACTCCCTTCAACAGCAGATTGAACGCCTCGTCGAAGAGCACAAGATGCCCTGTGATCTCCTCAAAAGTAGCTTCGTCGTTCTCGTCGTTATTCTCCTTCTCCCATACGAGTAAAACTGTCACCACTGCATCACCGACTTCTCCAACAGATTCCCTCAGGAGAGACAAAGGCCCACTACGGACAGCCGAAGGAACAATGTGGAACTGAAAAATATCTTAGGGTCCAAGTGGTAAGATACAAATCAGGCCCGCTACGACCGGCAACTTATATCCTCTTCGCATCGGATCTTTTATAGGTGGCTGTCCTCGATATTGGCAATCGACCATAGCTCGACTATACTCCTTACAAGTGGCTTCTATAGTGTTCAATAACCTGAAGTCACAGCTCCACTTTCCTGTTGAAGATACGATCAAAGAGCAAATGCTATGGAAAATGGCTACAATACGAGCCGAATCACTCCCTCCGAGTCGGGCTAATACTTGAACCGCTTACTACATCCACACTTATACTATGTCTACTATGTCTACTTCCTCATAGCTTCACGACGCCTCTTATCTTCCTTCCTCGCCTGTTTCGGCAGACTACACTCTTCCATCACCGAACCGCTCGCCATTAATCTCTTCTTTTCCTCGTTCGCCGGTCGGGCTAAGATCCTCGGCAAACTGGTCGAATCATCTGACATCACCCTCCAATATAATTCCATGGCGCGAAGACCGCTCGCTCCTCAACTTCGCATACATACCACCCCCTCCCTACGTTCTATCCTACTGAGTGATCCCACCACGTAGGGCTTGGGTATATCCCGCCTCTGTTCAGGTCGAAGCTCATACCTACACTGTATGACGAACAAAAGATACTCCATAACTTACCATTCAATCAACGGTGCCATCTCAGGCGAGTCAAGATCAACCCATGAGCTACTGCTAGTAGATATCATTAAAAGAGCCAATCTGAATTTATTTGCTTTGTAATCGAGGCCAAGTTGACCTGCCTCCCCCACAAGAGTTCCCCACACAACATATGCGTCGTGGTGACAAAAAGGGCTTGCCCGCCCTATGCGAGATTGATTTGCAAAAAAAGTACAAGAGAGGTCAACCAGTGCACATCCAAGCTCCCTTGACCATTACTATACGACATGGCGAATTGGTGTGGATAAATCAATCTGCTTGTGGCAGTGCTCGGGATACAGAATTGATGAACACTCAGAAATCTCCTATCGCACCATTACAAATGCTCAGCCGGTACCTTATCCATAAATTGCCACGAATCGGAAGATACAACTCCCACCTCAATAACCAATGCTCATCGGCGCTGGGAGAAAGACCGGTCTGCGGCGGGTGGTCGACTCGGAGGAGTAGCGTCTCGAGGTGTATGGGCCGAAAAGACCTATACGTACCTAGAATCGAACCAGGTATCTCCAACTGATCAAACTCCTACTCTAACCCCTGAACCATATTACTCGTCTTCGTATCTGCTTATTTTTTGTGGCCTCTTCCATTTTCTTCTTCTTTTCTGCTGCCGCAGCCTCTTCCGCTGCTAAGCGCTTCGCTCTCGCCTTCATAAAGTCTTTAAAGGGACCCAACTAGAATGACCAGTGTCGTGCTGAAGAATATGTTCCTCGTAGTATTACATGACGTAGCACGAGGATCCATGTTATATACCAATTGAATGCAACCAATGCAAGAACCTAATATCAAGAGATCCACTGCTGAAGCAATGAAATATCTTACCACTAGGAACGATACGACGATCGTTATAGGGAGAGCGAAGATTGCCCAAAGGCTGCGAATGACGTTAGAGACCGTCACTGTGGCATCGATCAGAGTAGATACGATAGTAATTACATCATCGATCATGCAGAGAGGTAAATAGCAAAGAA